TTTGAGACGGAGTTTTGCTTTGTTACCCAGTCTGGAGTCCAATGGCGAAATCTTGGCTCATTGCAACCTCCAACTCCCGAGTTCAAGCGATTCTCCTGCCTCAGCCTCCTGAGTAACTGGGATTACAGGCGCGCCACCACCCCGGGCTAATTTTTGTGTTTTTAGTAGAGACGGAGTTTCACTATGTTGGTCAAGCTGGTCTTGAACTCCTGACCTTGTGATCTGCCCGCCTTGTCCTCCCAAAGTGTAGGGATTACAGGCATGAGCCACCGTGTCCAGACTGTTGTTTGTTTCTTAAAGGCAGAAAGACAGGATCTTGCTCTGTCACTGAGTGCAGTGTTGTGTCGATAGCTCACTGAGGCCTCGAATTCCTAGGCTCAAGGGATCCTCCTGCCTCATCCTCCCCAGTAGTTGAGACTACAGGTGCGTACCACCATGCTTGGTTCTGGCTATGTTTTGTTTTTGTAGAGGCAGGAATCTTGCTATGTTGTCCAGCCTGGTCGCAACCTTCTGGGCTCGTGAGCCTTCTACCTCAGCCTCCCAAAGTACTAGGATTATAGACATGAGCTACAGCACCCTGCCTGTTCTGGGCTTCTTGCAGAGCCTCTTCAGCTGCAGAGAAGCTGCTCTCCTTTCTCCAAGTCCAGAGCCTCATCCCCAACAGGTGAGGGCTGCAGTGAGAATCTTTGGAGCACACAGACCTGGGCTCCAGTCTTCTCACTAATTAGCTGTGTTATTCTGGGTAAGTCACCTTCTCTGAGCCTCAATTTTCTTCTCTGCAAAATAGGACTTATAATGAAGCTGTTGGGAAGATTTACTGGTAATATGTGTAAAGGGTCTAGCACATTTTAGGAGCTTTAGAAGGTTGTTGCCTTCCCTTTTTCTTTATTCTGAACTGGGGATGAGGCGTTGAGAAAGAAGAGAGGCACTTGCAAAAGGAGGTCAGGTCTCAGGCTGGGCGAAGTGGCTCACGCTGTAATCCCAGCACTTTGGGAGGCCGAGGTGGGCAGATCACGAGGTCAGGAGTTCGAGGCTAGCCAATATGGTGAAACCCCGTCTCTACTAAAAATACAAAAATGAACCGGACTTGTTGCCGGGTGCCTGTAATCGCAGCTACTTGGGAGGCTGAGGCAGGAGAATCGCTTGAACCCAGGAGGAGGAGGTCGCAGTGAGCCTAATCGCGCCACTGCACTCCATCCTGGGCGTCAGAGAGAGACTCCATCTCAAAAACAAAATACGAGGTCAGGTCTGAAAAGATGTCACCCCCAACCTGTCAAAACTTCTCCTCAAGCCCTGTTGTTCCACTCTTGTCCGCCAGGGGGAGAAAAGGTTCCCTCAAAGGATGTCTTTGCTTTTGCTTGAGCGTTCACGGAGCCTCGACAAAGAGTGGCCGTGCGGGCGCCCGCGGCCCTGTGCGCCCTTGAGACTCCCGGAGGCGGGGCGGGAGGGCGCACGCGCAGAAGGCTGGCTGGGCGTGACGCGGCTCCAGGCTTGGGCTGTTTCAGTATTCCGCGCGGCTGGAGCTGGGGCTGGAGGAAGGTCGGGAGGTGGGCGGGGAGCCCCCCGGGGATTTCTTCTTACGGCAGTACTAGCTGTCATCTTCGTTTTCCACAAGGGAGGACCTGACTCCTTTCAGAGTCAGCATTTCTTTCCCTTCGTGGATGCTATTGAGTTCCAAAGAAAGGAAAGTCTTCATTGAGCAACTTCTTTAGGGACTTGGCAAAGGGGTAGATCAACCTTAGGGGAAATGATGCCCCTTTACTAGAGGAGGTTTTGGATCAGGGTTTGCTTTATTTGAAATTTAACAAATACAGAAAAGCAGAAGGTAGAAAATGGAAGTAATCCATGTTTCCATCACCCCAAAGTATCCATTGCTGTCTCCTGAAAATGGGTCCTAATAGGTTTGTTCAACAAATATTTATTATACACCTACCTATACTAAGCGCTTAGCACCGTTATGAGGGGACTACAGAGGGAAAAGAATGATGATTGGTAAACAAGATTTTTAGAAATCTGTGCATAGGAGGCTGGACATGGTGGCTCACACCTGTAATCCCAGCACTTTGGGATGCTGAGATGGGAGGATCACTTGAGGCCAGGAGTTGGTCAACAGTGTGACCATGGGGGTCACATAGTCTACTAAAAAAAAAAAAAAAGAAAAAGGGCGCATTGGTTCACGCTTGTAATCCCAGCACTTTGGGAGGCCGAAGCAGGTGGATCACCTGAAGTTAAGAGTTCAAGACCAGCCTGGCCACTATGGTGAAACCTCCTCTCTACTAAAAATTCAAAACTTAGCTGGGAGTTGTGTGGCACGCCGGTAATCCCATATCCTCAGGAGGCTGAGGCAAGAGAATCTGTTGAACTTGGGAGGCAGAGGTTGCAGTGAGCCATATCACGCCACTGCACTCCAGCCTGAGCAAGAGAGCAAGACCCTGTTGTCTTGAAGGGACAATCCCATAATAGCAAATAGCAAATGACAGAGACTCATTTGACTAAGAAATATTTTTGTTTTTTTGAGATGCAGTATTGCTCTGTCATCAGGCTGGAGTACAGTGACACGATCTCGGCTCACTGCAACCTCCACCTCCCAGGTTCAAGTGATTCTCCCACCTCAGCCTCCCAAGTAGCTGGGACTACAGGCGTGCACCACCACGCCCAGCTAATTTTTGTATTTTTAGTAGAGATGGGGTTTCACCATATTAGCTAGGATGGTCTTGATCTCCTGACCAACCTCATGATCCACCTGCCTCAACCTCCCAAAATGCTGGGATTATAGGTGTGAGCCATGGCACCCAGCCGACTAAGGAAGGTTTTTGACCAGAAAACCCACAGAAGAAGAGATAAGCTGTAGACATGATGAGAAAGGCACTATAATCTGCATTTAAATCTAATTGTACATTAGATAATATATATGAAAAATTATTTAACCTAGTCCCTGATTT